CTCATCAAAAATCAATTTAAGCAGAAATAAAAATTGTGCTTTTTAAATTTATTTTAAAAAACATGATACAGCTGTTCTACCATAGCCCATATATCGGTCAAACAGTTGTCACTTCACCGATTCCCAGAACGGACAGCAGGCCAAAGAAAACTAATCCCAGTGTTCTGCATATGCATTTCCCAAAGATATTTAATTTAACCTAAAAAGACCCATGAAATCCTGAAGTTCATCAGCTGTCATGTTAATGTTGAACACACTGTTTAATTTTTATTTTGGGTTCTGTTAAAGCAAATATACACTTATCTCAATAGAACATCTGTTTTAGGTATAACGCATTGTATCTTTGGCAAGAATTCACAATAAAACTAATAAAGTAATCAAAAATATTTACTGGGTCTGGCAACAAAAGCTGATTTGTATCAAAAAACCTAAAGACCAGATATGCCGGTCTCTGGGCTCTTGTCCAGTCCTAATCTAGAGTCAATAAACACAGTTCTACAAGAGAAACTACATTAAAAAAAAAAGAGGTCCTGCAGTTATTTAGGTTGGACTTAGGTATATGAAAGTGTGCTAGTTATAAAAATAGTGAAAAATATTTCTTTTAAATCAAAAACTGTTAAACCATGTCCAAACAGTTTTTAAAGCCACACGAAAATTTCATCTGCTTCATTTCCAACTGGAATCTCAGGGATTTCATTTTCAATAAAAAACTTGCTTTTCAAAACTTGAGTATTTCAGTAAAACTATGTGCAATATATAACTGTTATTGCTGAAGGCCTGGTATTTTAATAGCTCATATTTTATTACACATATTGGTACCATTAATGTTTATAAATAGTTGATCAGAGTGGTCATAGCTATGGAAGACAAGATTGACTGGTCTCCTTCAAGATATGTTTAAAAATAAACCAAAATACCCAAATTATATCAAGATTTAGTAGAAGTGACAAGATATTTCATTCTTGTATCACCAATATAAAAACGAAGGATGAAATCCTGTCCTCACTGAAGTCAATGACAAAATTCCCATTGACTTCAATGGGATTAGGATTTCACCCAAGTTCTCGCTACACACAATTCCGAAATTAACAGTCCTTGGTGAATTCTACAATTTTACTATGCTTCAAATGCAACAACTGCAAAATTCCCCCAGGATTAAATTATTATGTATGGCTTTAAAAATAGAAGACAAGAATTTCAAAGTGTGTAAGAAAAATGCACGCCCAGCTGCAGTTATTGTACATGCAAGTAACCAGATGGATGTGTAACTGGTCATTACAGGACTGCACATAGCAGCTGGGCACAGAAGTTAGTCATTTAGCTATATATACATTTTAGTATGAAGAATTACTCACATATTTCCTTATTGTCTAACTCTCATGGTCTGAAACTGTATTACGCCAGTTTCACCCGATGAGTAGGAAATAAATCTAAGGAAAGCCATATCCCACCCCATTGGGAGAATATCATTTATCAAAGAAGCAGAATTCTGAATTGTCAGTGTATTATTGTGCATTTCAATATTTGGGATTTATGCATATCCTCATTTAGTTGTCATAACCCTGAAGTTCATGACGATTAAAATGCATATTTCCCAGCTTCTCAGAGGTTGATCGTTGAGTTTGGAGTTGGTAAATTGGAGCAAACGCCTATTGGTCCCAGATGGCTGTCTGACTCTCACAGGCTTGGCACAGCCAGGCTCCCCTATGTTCAACTCAGATTGCTTCCAAGCCAAGACCCTGATGCTAAGGTCATCTCAGCCCCTCAGAGCCTGGTCTAAGGGGCACAGCGCCAGACCCATTTTCTCAGGAGGGCTAGATGAAGACAGACCATGGCCAGCCTGCACACCCCATTTCAGGCCAAGTTGGCCCAATGTAACCCCGCCCCCTCCTCATTCCCCACCACCTCATGCGCTGGACTGCATGAGAACCAGCTACTGATGTCAAACCATTTGGAGTCCCAGAACTCACCTTTTACTGGTTGGTGGCAGGAAGGGGCGGCACCTGTTGATGTGCCTGAACTATAAATACCGGTAACTGCAGCCCTTATTCCCCTTTTCCTCTCTCGATTGGTGTGGGAGTTAAGCATGGCAGAGGACAGGCCCCCATCCACTTCAGGAGATGGGAGTGGGTCATCTCCGTGGATCCCATGAGGAGAAGTGAGGGTTGGAGTGTCCAGGTGGGACTTGGGGTGGCCCATTCACCCTGGCAGCGGGGAGGGGGATCAAGGTGGACCCGAGGTGTCCCGCCCAGGGTGGGAAGCAGCCACAATGGGGAAAGTCCAACCTGCCAGTGCTGGCTGTCATGATGATTCTCCTTACATGTGTTAGAACTTCTGACGTGGATGAAGTGAAGCTGAGTCTGAGCCCTTGGCACTGGGTCCCGCAGGCCGCTTCGCCCAGATCCTCTTCTCACTGTGCAGGCTGAGCCTGACTCTGGGCCCCATGCACTAAGGCTGAAAACCTCAAGGGGTGTCTGTTCCTCGCAGGCACCACCGGAGACAGCCAGAGCCCTGCTGCAGTCACTTGAGAGCTCCGCCCAGAGCAGCCCCAGCACCTGCTGACCTGTAACAGCAGCAAAATGTCTGAGCTGGTTTCCTTGCTGAGCTGCATGGCAGTGCCTTTGAGCAGGTACAGTCTCTCTCTAATGGCTTCGCCAACTAAGCAGCACAGCAAGAGGAAAAGCTTCTTCATAACCGGTGCTGCATGGCTAAAGCCCGAGCAGCGCTTTTAAGAGTGAGGAACAAGTTGGTATCAGGGCAATGCTGAGAGCTCAATTGAAGACCATGATTAAACTGAAGGGGAGGGGGGAATGGTCTAATGAGTAAGGCATCAGCCTCCAGAGCCTGGAACTGTGGAGTCAGTCAGTCAGTCTCTCTCTTGTGTGTGGGGAGCAGGATCTGGTGAGTTGAGAAAGCCCCAAGGGGAACAGGAGAGCACATGCACACTGCATAGAGGTTTTCCCCCTGCTCCCACTGGCCAAATGGGATGGCTTCCCCATCCCTCTCATGCCCAGACTCCATACCCCATCCCACTCACACACATTCCCCATCCCATCAAGACCCTAACCAGTTCCTGCACCCTCCCTCCTGGCCAGACTTCCCTATTCCACCTCTGCACTCAGCAGGACTACCTGTCACCATGGGCCCCAGGGCAAGATGGGGGGGATGCGGCTCCACATCCCCAAAAGAGGTAGGGTTGAGGGCAGTCAGTCCTTAACACGGCCTGGGCCACAACACTGCTTTCCCCCAGCCATCTGCTGGAACTGGAGCCAGGCCACAATGTAGTCCCAGAGCAAGCTGCCTACCCCAGGAGCAGCCAGGTAGCTGCCACCAGTTTCCCCAGGGCTAGGGCTGCAGCCAGGCTGCGCACCTGCCTTGGCCATGTGCCAGAGATGGAGCTCTGAGGAAGCTGGGGGTGGCTGCATGGCTGCTCCCAGGGCGGGCCAGGTGGCAGGCGACTTGCTCTGTGTGCAGGAGCTGGGGCCTACAAGACCACAATCGGGCAGGGTACTGTCCCCGGCCCCGATCCTGGAGCAAGCCCTGCGATCTGGCCCACATATGACTGCAGGTAGGACTAGCAGCAGCCCCCCCCACCTCCTGCTGCAACATGTGTAGGAGCAGAGGCCACGATTCAGCTGCAGTGACCCTGGTCTAGCTCCTTGTCCAGCCATTGCTGCCTGGGTACAGCAGCCCAGACCTGAGTAGATCAAGTAATCCAGTCCCAGGTAATCCTTGAGCCCAGAGCCCTTCCCACATACTCTACTTCCCACCCCCAGCACCTTGCCCTGCCTCCTGCACCCCCCCACACCCAGACATTACATCCTGGGCCCATTATACAGCCAAACTCCCGGCCCTAAGCCCCAGACTCCTGCACCCCCACATTCCCAATCCCCTGCCATAAGACTGAAAGAAGACAGCTTGAATGCGTACGTGAAGCTGGATTTGACTACTTATGATGTAAATTTCAAAGAAATGTGTAAAAAGATGCAGCAGCAGAAATCTCATTAAATAAAGTCTCTGAGTACATTGTATCATTTATGCTATTATTACTCATCATGTCAATTAATAATATTAAGTTGTATATTTTCAGTCACATAAATGGGCATTCTTATATGGCTCTTTGTTGACTGCTTGCTCTGAATTTTGATGTAGTTTGGCTCTTTGGTTTGATCATTTATGAGTATGTTGAGTAAGACTGGTCCCAGTACAGACCCATGAGGGACACCACTAGTTACCTGTCTCCATTCTGAAAACTGACTATTTATTCCTGCCGTTTGTTACCTGTCTTTTAACCAGTTACCAATCCATGAAAGGACCTTCCCTCCTTCTTATCCTATGACAGCTCACTGTGTTTAAAAACCTTCAGTGAGGGACTTTGTCAAAGGCTTTCTGGAAATATAAGTATGCTATATCCACTGGATCCCCCTTATCCATGTGCTTGTTGACCCCCTCAAAGAATTCTTGTAGATCGGTGAGGCATGATTTCCCTTTACAGAAACCTTATTTATTTTCCCTGAAACAAATTATATTTATCTATGTCTGACAATTCTGTTCTTTACTACAGTTTCAATCCATTTGCCTTGTACAGATGTTAGACTTACTTGCTAGTAATTGTCAGAGTCACCTAGAGAGCCCATTAAATAAATTGGCATCACATTAGCTATCTTCCAGCTATTTGGTGCTAGGGACATAAAAACTAGTTTAATCAGTTAACCAATTAAATGTTATGTTTAAGTGGTTCACATCTTAAACAGGGATACACAGGGAGGCTGCTACCAGCCTTGCTGAAAAGGCCTCCCCGCCTGTCATGGCTCAGCTGAAGCACTATCCCCCCGCCCCCATCATGGGCAGGGGCTGCTCCATACATGCTGGAGCACCCCCATCCATGGCACGCTACTCCAATTCCTGTCAGTTAACAGTAACAGGTAGTCATCACCCAGTAAGAAGGGAGGAACAAAAATGGGTGCTTTTTATTTTCAAAGCAAACACTTAATCCAGGATTTTAAAATAATCCTTTGAGATGATTTAAGTTAAATAATAGGGGATAGACCAGTTTCTCTCAACCAGTGGTATGAGTATCTTTAGGGGTACTCAAGAGGAGTCTGGATGGTACATTAACACAACTGAAATTTGGAGAAAACTGAATTTTTGTTTTAAGTTTTACAGTGCTTTATTATTTTTGTACTTTTTACACCCAAAAATTTCATCGTCCACCTGGCTACGATTAAGTTGTTTAAACAAATGTGTTGCAATGGTAGAAAAAAATGTTGTGTCTCAAAACTGTAGGTACTGGGGGCACTTATAATTTTTTTAAGGGGTACATTATAAAAAAAAAAGGTTGAGAAACACTGGGATAGAGGACTAAGTGGCCTCCTTCCTATATTTCCTGTAGGAAAACCAAGTGTCTCTATCCTCTGTCGAGAGAAAGCCAGGCAGAAGACAGGCTTACCATTCACAACAAAATCTAAATAGATGTTTTTCAAACCATTCCATTGGTCTGAAATTTAATGGTCAAAAATTTTGTTTTGGGCTAAGTGACTCCATCATTGCTGTGCATTAACAAAGGATTTTTTCAGGCAACCTAATACCCAAAGGACAAGCAAGGTTTCAGTCTGCACATCCTAAACTCAAAACTCAGCTCATCTGAAGAAGTGGGCTATGCCCACCAAAGCTCATGTTTTGTTAGTCTATAAAGTGCTACATGTTTCTACATGTTTTGTTAGTCTATAAAGTGCTACCAGACCAGTTTTTGTTTTTTTAAGAGAAATGATAGTTAGTATTTAAATTTGCATTCCAATGGCCTAGCCAAGCAATCAGCAACCTACAGTAGTAAAACACACAGTATATGGAAAGTAGGCCCTCAGCTGCAAGCTGAATTCTTTGGACTGGCAAGAGTTGGTGCCTGCTATGGAGGCAGCACATTTATCCCCAAGGAGAGGGAGTACACTGAATGATGCTGTAGTGAACTTCGCCAGCCAACCCATGACTGGATACTTACATACCCCCAAAGGGAACGAAGTCAACTTCTCTACAGCCAGAAGGGTGGGCCACACCCAATGCAATAAGGACAAAAGATGGAGAGAAGAACTAACTTAAAAATACATTTAAAAGCACCCAATGAAATTAAAACGTGCTGACGACAAAAACAAAACGTCAAGCAAAGGAAGCCATCTTACCAATATACAACATCCAGTGGTGCAAAGTACTTTTTCATAATTAAGTCAGCAAAGTAAGCCTCAGTCTCCCTGCAGGCAGTCCCATTTCCAATCACAACAGTGCTGCAGCTTTAAAGGAGATAAAGGACAAACATTCAGTTTTCCTACAGAGTTATGATTGTATAACTAATTTTATATAATAGGTAGAGGCTGTACTTCCATACTCAGGAAAGTATCTACAGGCTTCTGAGATCAGCACCCTCGCACAAACCCAGGCTGATCTGCCAAGAGTTAAGCTGCACGATACACACACTGTGGCATATTACAAAAATGTGTCTTGCTTCAGTAGTTACAAAATAGCTAGTACCCTGCAATGGAGAATTCCATCCCCTTAGTTGCAGGTACAACAGCAAAGCAACTTAAGTGGCTACAGCAGTACAACTTGGTTTGCAGGGCGGGTGGGGGCGGCTATCTGAAGGTTTCAATGCCTTGTGATGTTACAAGTGGTGAGAATGATAATTTTTACATATCTGTTACACAACTAACTACAGGAAATTCAAGAGCAGTAGTACATGACTCTCCTGGAGTGCCTTCGTGTTAAAATCATTGTACTAGACAAGCAGGAAAATCCTTCCCCGTGCAAAATGGCTTCTACTCAATTAAACAGAAGCTAACATTAAAAAACAAAAAAACTCAATAGCACTGGATATAATGTACTCCAAAGTAAGGACCAGAACTACAAATAATCCCATACTATCAACAGGTAAGCATGATGTTTAACATCTTCATTCTAATCCCTACTGAACAACATCCCACTTCGCAAAACTATCCCAAGTTTAATATAAGTGGCAATAGCTATTTAGACTAGCATGGGTGCTGCACATTAGGAATGAGATCCATCAGCACACCTTTGCAAGTATATTTCCACAGGATTTAATTTATAAACAAATTATATTCACTGCTTGATTTCATAAGCATCAAATATATACATGAGTTTCAAACATTAATATAAACTGGGCAACCTTCAGCGCTCAGCCATGAAAACAGAAATTCCACTGAAGTCACAAGGCATCCTATGGCATATCCAATTCATATATAATGCAGATATTTATCACATTTATATTTTAATGACAGCTTCATCATCATACTTGTAATGAAGAAGTAATCTCCTTATCTTCTCAGCTTCACGGAATCCTTGCCCAGAATGCAAGTAGACAATATCGGTATGGAGTATCTGACCTTGAACGAGAAAAGGCAAAGCTATTCAGTAGGAAAAAGAAAAATCTAAACTGTATATTCTGCTGAATTACCTAGGTCAAGTTCTGATCCACAAGAAAAACATTTCAATAATTATTCACCATTTTCTTGTACACTATGTATAACTTGGTTCACTGCCAGCATAAAATGAGCAGATAGACTTTGCATAGCTCCTAGTAAACATATCCACATGTAGGCTTGCCAGATGCTTTCACCAAAAATCCCGAACATGGCAGGAAAAAAAAAGGTTGCTGCACCTTTAAGAATCCTTGGGCTCCTTGCTTTCCCCCCACCCACGCAGATGTGGCAGGGAAACAATGTCCCTGCCAGCCAGT